TGGATATTGAATATGTTGATTAGGATTTGGATATTGATAATTGAATATGTTGAATCTTTGAATTTGTAACTTAGGCATCAATTTTTTTGGTAAATGAATATGTTGAATATTGAATTGGTTCATTTTTTAGTTGTATCATTTTTGTACCGAAATGGTACCGATACCGTACCGATACCGACACGGTACGGTATGGTACGGTACCAATTTTGACAAACGAATTATTTTGGTAAATGAATATGTTGAATATTGAATTTGTTCATTTTTTAGTTGTGTCATTTTTGTACCGAAATGGTACCGATACCGACACGGTACGGTATGGTACGGTACCAATTTTGACAAACGATAATCCCAAACCGTACCATACCGATTTAAATTTCCGGTATCGATAGCGGTACGGGCTCAATACCGTACCATACCGTACCGTACCCACCCCTAGTCCCAATGAGGTAGATGAGTCGCAGTCAAAGTGATTCGTAATAGAGACGGCAGGGTGGTGGGAAATAGATAGGCTACAACCGGACTAGCCCCACCATTCCTGAGCCCCAATATTATGTCTCTTTTTTCTTTTTTTAAAGCGATTATGTGATTCTTTTAGGCAATGGGGAATTCATGAATTTTCATAGAATTAGGCAAATATTTTCTATTTATTTTATAGGATATATATTATAAGCTTTTTCTTTTGAAACAAAAATGTAAATACAATTTTATAAATCAAATAAGACCACATTACGAGTAAATATAACACAAAGAAGTACAAAATATAAATAAATACCAAATCAAACGCATTGTTTAACTACTTAAGATCCGAGTTCAGTAAGTTCCTCAGGAATTGAAGTATCAATATTAGATGCAGAAAGTGTATCCTTGTTATCGTTAACACTTTTTTTGAAGAATTAATAAATTTGTCCTCTCTTTGTCGGTCTATTATCATCATGTGACATGATATTCTAACAAAAAATACTGGACACCAAAAATCATATATGCTAATAAATAATTCAAGTTGCAAAAATAAAACATATATCAACAATCCCCAAAAGTTTTCACCCAAACCCTAAATCATAAAAACTTAACAACAACAATTAAAATTGGAAATTGAATATATATATATATATATAACATAGAAAAACTTACCAAGATTGAAGAACCCACTGAAGATAGGTTGGTACAATTTTTTAGAATGAGATAACTATTTCTTCTAGGCTCTCAAGGTTCAAATATGGCGCTTTGGGTGGCTAGAAGAAAAATTATGATGTATGCTTCTAATCAAATTTATGTAGGTTATGGATTGCATGTTTACTATTTCCTATATTCTTCAAGAGTGGACTTATTTCTACATAGAAGGTTTGGTTTATTTTAAATAGAGGGCTAGACTATTATTTACTTTACCTAGATTCGGCTTATACCACTAAGCCTACAAAAAAAAAAAAATTCAACATTGGGCTGAAGCTCACTCCAGCCCAAGTGTAGATCTGTCTGTGCTTTTAGGTCTCATTTGGTTCGCGGAAAAGAATTGATGGGAAATAATTTCCCATATTTTTTTCTCAAGAGATGGAAAATAGAAGATTCATTTCTCTATTTGGTAATGTTGGGAAAGTAACCAGAAAAATACCATTTTCTCATGTGTCAGGCAACCATTTTCCATGCGTGGGCTTACCAAACACCCCCTTAACTTAAATGCCCCATTAACTTAATTGCCCCCTTAAATTAAACGCCCCATAACTTAATTGCCCCCTTAACTTAAACTCCCCCTTGACTTAATGTGCCAGGTAACCATTCCTAAGTCTCATTTCCATGAAGAAAAAACCCCTTAACTTAATTTCCCACTTGATTAATTATATGGGGTAAGAAGTCCAATCCCAATTAATTCATTATTGGAGGCAATTTAATCCCAATGTGATTTCATAATAAAATATCATTATTTTTGAAAGATTGTATGAAATATTAATATAATTATGGCATGTTTATTAATTTGTAATTAGGAGAGGATGAACTGAATTGAGGAGGAGTCAGAATCTGGACTCTCATTGAAGTTATTTACTAATCTATCTGGAATCAGGGGTAGGAATT